CTCTATCTTTGTGAAAAGAACTACCCGACTCATGATCTTGAACTGGAAATCGTAGTATTTACTTTGAAAATCTGGCATCAGTATCTGTATGGTGTAACTTGTGAAGTATATACAGATCATAAAAGCTTAAAATATTTCTTCACCCAAAAGGAGCTGAACATAAGGCAGAGAAGATGGCTGGAATTAATCAAGGACTATGACTTGCAAATTCTGTATCTTCCAGGGAAGGCCAATATCGTTGCAGATATAGTGAGTAGAAAATCTATTGGGAATCTATCATGTTTTCTCACTGGTCAGAGAGATTTGTTATGTGAATTGGAACGAAATGAAATTGAAGTGGTTTTACGTGAACATGGTGGAATTTTAACTGTTATTTCTGCCCAACCCGCAATTATTGAGGAGATAAGAGCTAGGCAATTGCAATATGCATTTCTGAAAAAGATTGTAGATGAAACTAACTCAAAATAGAGACTGGGATTTGTGATTGACAATAATGTGTTGAAATTTCAGAATTGCCTTTGTGTACCAGATTGTTGTGATTTGAGAAAACGTGTTATGATTGAAGCCCATAATTCCAAATTTGCTATGCATTCGGGGAACACAAAGATGTATCATGATTTGAGACAGAACTTCTGGTGACCTAGAATAAAGCAAAGCATTATTGGTTTTGTGGGGAGATGTTTCCATTGCCAACAAGTTAAAGCTGAACAATAATGACCCGTTGGGCTGTTACAGCTGCTTCCAATACCAGAATGGAAATGAGAGCACATTACCATGGATTTCATTGTTGGACTGCCTCGCTCTTCCCGAGGTATGGACTCTATTTGGGTCATTGTTAATCGTTTAACTAAATCTACTTACTTTTTACTTGTTAAATCTTTCTAAAATGCAGATAAGTTGGCTAACTTGTATATCAATGAGATTGTGAAATTACATAGAGTTCCAGTGTCCATAGTATCTAACAGAGGTCCCAAGTTTACTTCGAGATTCTGGCAGAGTTTGCAACAAGCTTTGGGAATTGAGCTGAGATTAAGCAGTGCTTATCACCCACAGACAGATGGCCAATCTGAACGGACCATTCAAACATTGGAGAACATGTTACGGATGTGTGTGTTAGACTTTCAAGGCAATTGAGAGACTTACCTTCCTTTGGCCGAATTTGTGTATAACAATAGCTATCATTCAAGCATTGGAATGGCTCCTTATGAAGCTTTGTATGGTAAGAAATGTCGTTCTCCGATTTGTTGGGCCAAAGTAGGTGACAGACCTTTGTTGGGACCGAAACTTGTGCAAGAAACAACTAAAAGTGTGAAATTGATTCAACAAAGATTGAAAACTGCACAAAGTAACCAAAAGAGTCATGCGGATGTCCGAAGAACAGATATGGAATATGAAGTCGGGGATCACATGTTTATCAAAGTAACTTCGATGAAAGACCAGACGCGGTTTGGAGTAAAAGGCAAATTGGCACCGAGATATGTTGGACTATACGAAATTCTTGAGAAGATCAACCTAGTAATATATTGGATAGCCTTACCGCCAGTCATGGAACATATGCATAATGTTTTTCACGTCTCCATACTTCGGGATTATCTACAAGATCCGTTACATGTCATTGAACCAACACATGTGCTTTTGAAAGATGATTACACCTATGAGGAGAGACAAATACAAATTGTTAATCGTCGAATCAAAAGACTAAGGAACAAAGAAATCCTATTGGAGAAGGTTGATTGGCAAAACCACAGAGGGACCTATGCAACTTGGGAAATAGAGGAATATATGATAAGGAGATACCCTGAATTATTTCCTTTCGATCCGATATTCTTCCAAAATGAAGGTAATCCGAGTTTGGAGGACCAAACTCTTTAAGGGGGGAAGACTGTAACAACCCCGACCTGTGATTAGCCTTTAATTCATGATTAATTATGCCTAAGAAGAATTAAGATGAAATTATGAATTTATTTGCATGTGTGTATGACATTATTTGTGTTTCTATCTGTCCATCGCAGAAATATCTGTTTGTCGCTCTGTTTTGTTTTGTGAATTGAAAACCTTATTGGCATCCGATCGCGAAATTGACTTGAATTATGTGTTAGTTAGAATTTTAAAATTTTGTGGTAGGTTCAATTGAAAGTCGATTCGGAACGATTTAATTAGAATAATTTGTATCTAATTGAATAATTTGATCAACCATTTAATTAAACCATTAATTAAGCCTATATAAGGCATAAGTGGACCCTTGGGTATACTTTACACACTCTCATTTTGTTATCTTGAGATCAAACGTGAGAAGAGAGAGAGAGAGAGAGGAAAGCTTGAGAATTTAAATTCATCAAACAAGGAAGGAAAGAGAAAGATTGCTAAGCATTGGAAGAGAATTTGGAAGATTTTAGCATTCTAGAGCATAATTGAACATCTAAGGTGAGAATTCAACCTTTAGGTTTGAGTTTAAGTCATTCCATACATGAATTCAAGAGAAGTGAGCTAAGTTAAGCAAGAATTGAACTAGGAGGTAGAAAAGAAGAACATCTCATGCATGCATGTCCATTTAAACATAATTTGAGTTTGATTTCAAAGAATTCTCTTATGCATGCATTCATCCTACCTTTATTTTGAGAATTCATCAAGTTTCATGTCATTTTGTGTCATTAGATTATGTTTTGGAAGTTTTGAAGTCAAGGCATATAGTGATCCCAGTTTTGCCACTTCGTTGAATATGTCGGGGATCGAGCTGCCTGGTTAGCTTGCGGGGGTCCAAGGGGTAGCGGCCCTTGGCGAGTCCAAGGGCAGCGCCTTTGTGAGGATAGAGCTGCCCGGTTAGCTTGTTGAGGTCTAGGGGGTAACGCCCTTGGCGGGTCCTAGGGCAACACCCTAGCGGGGTTGAGGGGCAACGTCCCCAAAGCAAAAATGCAAAATGCATTAGAAGTTACTTGTCTGCTTGAGCGGCCGTTTATGCGCTCGAGCGGAGAATGTTTGGTTTTAGAAGTTTGACCTGTTTGCAAAAGTACTGGAAAAGTGTATTTGACGCTCGAGCTGGGCTTTCCACGCTCGAGTGGACCATGTTATATCAGTTCGTGAATCTGATATTTCAAATCACTTTTGTACATCTCTCTCTCTCTAAAAACCCTATCCTCTCCCTTCTCTCTACGCCAAATTGGATCAAAACCTTGATTTCTCAAGATCCATTAGAGTTCTGCCATAAGTTCTTCATCAAAGTTGGTTAACTTCTTGAGGGCTTAATTGTGTGCGGTGAAGATCGAGTTTCGACACCGTTGATTTTGGGGGTTTCATCTCATTTCTTCTTCAAAACTTAAGCTAGGGATTTTCTTAGAGTTATATATATATTTTTTCAAGATTTATATAATTATCGAAATCATCTTTCGATAACTTTGAAAATTGATTGTTGATTCAAGAAGTTGAGTGATTTTGAAAGTGGGTTTGTGTCTTGTTCTTTTAAAATGATCTTATGAGTTTTGATCTTCGTTGATTGAAGAAAAGATGATTTTGGAAAGTTTTCTTTCAAAGGATTTGAGTTGTATAGTTTTGGTGAGAAAACCTAGAATTTGGGAAAAAAATTTAAAGAGACTGAAAATCTATGAATGATATTGTTGTATTTATTTTGTGTGTCAAAATAAATGGATGTTTGAAAAATTTCTTATTTATATTTATATAAATGATGAATTTCAGGGAATATGAGAATTGTTGTTAATTTTGGAAATTATTGTTCAAAACGTTGAAATAGTCTTGAAATGACTAATTGTTGAGGATACTTGAGAAGAGGGAATTGTGTTATTCCTTGGATGACAAATTGAAATAAAAGTATTTATATTCATCTTGTGTTATTGACATAACAATTCATTTGACTACATTAAATTTTGAAAGTTGATTTGAAAACTTGTATTGAGAAATTAATGTTGAGAAACAAGTTTTCATGAAATGGTTTTAGGGTAAATACGTTGGTAAGTCTTGATAGGTGGTGTAGATGATATTGAATAAGTTGGCCTGAGAGTCTGGGGTGAAAGACCGAAAACCCGCGTGAATAGGTGTCGAGCCTTCCAGTTAATACCGGTAAAAATGATAATTTGGTAGTACTTGTATAGTCTACTTGTGGACACGGACCTAGGGATTACCAGAGTCGTACTTACCGCCCTTGAAATAAATTGTTAAGTTTTGAACAATTGAAATTGCATAACATCATTGAGCATGATGGTTTTCAAAAGATGAAAATGTGATTTATCTTCAAAAAAGGGCATAGCATGGCATGTGCATTTCATCTTTTGAGACTTGTATAAAATGTATATACTTTGTTAAGGATTTTCTACTGGGCTTTATGCTCACCCTATGGGATTTTTGTGTAGGAAAAGATGTGGTGATACCGCCTAACTAAAGGCGAGAAAATGTGTGTTGAGAGTACGAGACTCTCATTTTGCTGTGACTCTGTGTGTAAGCCAAGGGCTGTATGTGTGTGGATTTGAATAACCGTTTTGTGTAACCAGGCTCAAGCCTTGGAAACTTGTAAACCCTTGGGGGTATTTATTTGTTTATTTACTTGTTGTTGGATTGATGTATTGTTGCATGGAGAACTATTGTATCATGTAATGTAAGTTTGGAGTTTTATATTTGGTTTTCCTTGAAAGAGACATGATTGTTGTATTATCATTTGGGTAGAAATTTGGGGCATTACAAGGCAATACATGCATGTCATATTCATGTTATGTTTTCACAATTCAAGTTTGAGTGTGTATAATTGACACACTTATGGGCCTTGATTTCATGAAATGATCTTTAATTCTTTATGTTTTTCAAGTTTACACTTGTTTCCTCAAGTTTTAGGGCCTATGAGTTGTGTTTTGAGGGGTAGAATTCGAGTTTTTAGCTTAGGAGTGCAATCTGGAATTCCAGATTCTGCTTTCCCGCTCGAGCGATGGATTCTCCACTCGAGCGACCACTCTGTGATCTTACACTTCCACTTGAGTGACTTGAAGTGTAAGAACCCGCATTTTTGCATATTAAATTATTTTGGTAATTATATTTAGCTACTTAAATTTTGTAACCAACATCCATAATCCAATTCCGTAACATTTTGTGACGAAATTCTATAATTAACTTTTAATTATTTAATTAGTGCAATTTTTATCTTCATAGTATTATTATTATTGTTGTTGTCGTCATCATCGTCGTTGTTGTCACTTTTATAACTACACAAATCTAATTCTTAATATCTATTATTCTGTATAAAGTTTTGCATTAATAATTTGTGCACATGAAAATTAACCCATGGAGATTAATTGGTTCAATCTCATGTCTTTTAGTTACATAAAATAATAATATAATATTAAAGTGACTCAAAATCATATATCTACAAAAAAAGAAAAAAAAAGAAAAAGGAAATTGAGGGAATGGTTGGCCTCTTCCCAAGGTCTTTCCTTAGGCTTTGTTGTGTATGCATATGTAAGAGCATGCTTCTCCAACAACACACACAACCTTATTAAAGGTGGACAAGCATGCCTTAACACTCTAAGCCTATGCATACCTTTACACTCTAAGCCTATGCTTGTAGATAATAATTCCCAAGCCAAGAGGAAAAATAAAAAAATAAAAAATAAATAAAATAGGTCCTCAAACTCCTATAAATAAGAGCACTATTCAGCCCTTCCATTACATACACCCAGCTGAGCAAAAGAAAGAAAAAAGAGAGGAGAAAAGAAAGGAAAAAGAGAGGAAGAGGAGAGGGTTGCTTGGTGGTTACCAATTCAAAACTAGTGTTGAGAATTGTTTGTAAAAGCTCTTGAGGTAAGAATACTCAACCTCTATCCTCCCTTAGATTTTTTTTTTTAACTGATTCTACATATTAAAAATATACAAGAGTGTGCATTGTTAATACGCACATAGCAAGAATAGCTCAATGCATGTTTACATTTTGATGGAATGATAATCTTGTGATTATATGATTTTTATCCTTCTTGCAAACATAGATTAGATGGTTTAGCTACTGATTTTATCTTCTTATGTGCTCAAATATTTTCCATTGTTTGAAATAATTTTTCATAGGGGTAAAA